ATCCCCCTACCTACAAGTAGATTTTGTGATAGTTCAAGATAGGATTGAGGTAGGGAGGGTTGCTGTGTTTTCCTTCAATAAAGAACAAAAATGGGCCAGCCTGGAGGCTCACTAGCTTTTTTAGATCAGCAGCAGCTCAGGAGCCAGTTGAGGTTGGTTTTAGTTCCCTTTTTAGCTCATGGATTATCAAATCTTCTTGGATCTCTCTGATAAGCAAAACCACGTGTAACCTACCCAGATATAAGTATGTCTGACAACAACAAAAAAAACTTACACCTTAATTTTACATGCACTGCCTTAGAAGTAGTTTGAAAAGCTGGATGTGCACAAGGTTTGGCTCACTGCTGTTTGTGATGGGTTGTAGCTTTCCTCACACCCTCAGGGCTTGCTTGTATTACAAGCTCAAACAAGATTTGGAAATGAACAGTGGGGAAGTAACTTGTGCAACTTCGGTTTTCTGGATTAGAATACAATTTTGAAATTCATGCTGTAGTCTGGGCACAGTTTCACATTCAACATTGGAAAGCTGCATTTTCCCGTTGTGTTTTTTTAACAGGATGAGACAATAAAGCTTTTTTTTACCATGAGTATTTTTTTAAAAGCTTTCTCTTGAATGACACTGAAAGTGGTACATGTGGTCCTGGGGGGATTTCTGCAATAGGCAAACTGTTGTAAAAACTGGCATTTGTTTCTTGATTTATATTGTTTCTTGATTTATTTTAGTTGTTTTTTGGACCAATGACAAAGCCATTTTAGCTGGTGTCAGCTTTGCTCTAATCTTCAGACTACAGCTTTTGGGGATGACGTGTTCCCTGGTGGCCACAGATTCTCTGCTACTGGTGAGTCACCACAATCTCTCTTTCTTTGAGCACTCAAAAAGTAGTTTTTTTAGAAAAAACCAAGATGAGCCTTATTTAAATTTCCCTAAAGCTGCTGGTACTTAGGTTTTTCTCTGCAGTCTGTGACAGTAGTTTGGAACAGTGTAGTTACACTGTGGGTGCAATCACAGCTTCCTGGACTCTGCACCAGTTTGACTCTTTGTTGAAAGAGTTGTGTGAGATGTGTCTTAGCAGGAAGCTGCTCATGGTCAGGAGGAAACTTAGAGATGTGGAAGTTAATTAGGATAATCCCATGTTTTACTTGCAGTGGTTGTAGTGGCTGTAGAGCCCAGTGAGGCTGCACCCCCAGAGAGGACTTTTTTTACTTTGTACAATTGGCAGAAGCTCCACTTTAGATTCAACATTTATTGTGAATAACATCTGCAGTGTTGATTTCTGAAAAGGACACGAGGTGCCTTATCCCAATTATATCTCACTCCAGCTATTTCAAATGAGGAGCTACCACTTGAACCACAAGTGCAAAAAATACATTCTAAGAATTACAATATTTCAAGGTCACCTGATTATTTTTGTTTTAAAGAGATGTATTTGGGCATCTCACCTCAGATGAGCTCATGTTCATATGACTAAGTATCCCCTGGAATCCCATGAAACAAGAGAATTTTGAAGATAATCCATGTGGATCTTAGAGCACATAGAAAAACTGGCTGTAGAACAAGAAAAACAGTCTCAATTTTATTTGCAGAAGCTTTATCTGAGAAGGTCTGTTCACTTTTACCACGTTCCTTTGCTGCCTTCCTGCTTCACATGCACACACAGGAAAAACGTGCCATGGATGTACTGTTCATCCCATCTGTCTCAGAGGAGGAGAGTCTGTGAGTTGTTCCAGGTAGTGATTTAGCTCACAGGAGTGATTTTTAAATTTTACTGTGTGTAAAGTATGTTGCTGGCAAAAATGTTGGTTCTTGGCACTGTGCAGTGGGGGAAGGAGGGAAAGCAAGGAGGCATTCACATCTTCCTCTCCCAAATCCTAAAAACTTTGAGTGTGCCTGTCCTGAATCCTCTCCCTGAATCCCCTGGAAGGAGGTTTTTTCTTATATATATGTACAAGAATATATGTGTATATATATATGTATATATATAAGAATATATGTATATATGTCTGAGATTTCATGCTTAGGGCTACATGCAGCTCAGGCCAACGTATGTTATCATATCTGCAAAGAACTTTTGCTACAGCAGGGACTACCCAAAACCTTGGTTAAGCTGGACCACACATAGAAAATCAAAACTGCCCAAAAGCTCAGTGTTTGTATTGTATAAAGAATTTAGTAGTCTGAGGAAGAGGAGAACAGTGACTGTATAGACTGAGCAAGGTAGAGAGGAGGTTAAGGCAGCTGTCACCTCATTAGTGAGCACATTTTTTGAGAACACCAGAGGTTGTAGATCTAAAAATATTGAGAGAATTAAATACAGAATTACAAGTGTGGTCTGAGGATTTGTGGGTGATGTCTGAATTCTGGGATCTGGGCAGGAGAATGGCAAATCTGGGGACCGTGCTCAAAAACTGTGACATAAGTTGGCAGAGGCAGCACAGCTCCAAGTGTGATCCCAACCACAGGGAAAGTTTTAGAACAACTTCTGAGGGAGAAAAAACTGATGAATAAAGAGGTGACCAGAAAGTGTCAGAAATTACACCAGGGGTTGTCACGAGAATATTCTGTCAGATAAGTCTTTCTCTTGACAAGAAAATGAATTTCCTCACCAGAGGCAATAGAGCAGAGTTCATTAACTGGAGCCATAACTCAAAGCACATCACTGAACATGGGAATGAGGGGATTCCTGCAGGAATTCTGTGGAGCAGGCTGGGGCAGCAGGGCATCTTTTTGTTTTCTTTTTTTGTGCATTAAATGCCATATTCTCAGGGTGTTGGAGGGGAGTCTCCTTTTTTTCCACTGGTTGTCTGGAATCTGATCCTCCCACGGACATTCCACAGTAACAAGTAAATGCACATATTTACTCACTAAATGTGTGTCTGTGTATGTATACATTCATATATACACATTCAAGTAGTCAAATGAATAAGTAATAGTAAACAGGTGCTTATTATTACTTATTCATTTGACTACTTGAATATGTATGTGTGTGTATATATATATATAAATCATAGAAAGGTTTAGGTGGGAAAGGACCTTAAAGCTCATCTTGTTCCACCCCCTGCCAAGGGCAGGGACAACTTCCTCTATCCCAGGTTGCTCCAAGTCCCATCCAACCTGGCCTTGGAAAAGGCTTCCAGGGGTGGGGCAGCCACAGCTTCTCTGGGCAACCCGTGCCAGAGCCTCACCACTGTCATAGTAAAGATTTTTTTCCTACTATCCCATCTAAACCTACTGTCTTTCAACTGGAACCCCTTCCCTCTTGTCCTGTCCCTGCACACATGAGCACACCTGGGTGTGTGCTTGGGGCATTGGAGAGCAGGGCAGGGCTGGTGTGGCAGTGCAGGGGACAGGACGGTCCTATTATAACATCCCAGAACACCAGGATGGGCCGGGCTGGAAGGGCCCACAGAGGCTCATCTGGTCCCACCTCCCCGTTCCAGCAGGGCCATCCCAGAGCACATGGCACAGGATTGTGTCCAGAAGGTACTGGAATATCCCCTGTGAGGAGACTCTACCCTCCCTCTGGGCAGCCTGTTCAGTGCTCGGTCACTGTATGGGGAAGACGTTCTTCCTCATGTCCAGGTGGAATTTCTGGGCATCAGTTCCTGCCCATTCCTCCTGTGCCACTGCTGGGCACGTCCGAGCAGAGTCTGCTCCATCCTCTGCCCCCTCGTGGCAGATATTTATACGCATGGATGAGTCGTCTCCTCTGGAGGCTGAACAGCCCCAGCTCCCTCAGCCTTTCCTGGCCACAGAGATGCTCCAGTCCCTCCCCCACCTCCAGTCTCTCCATCACCTCCAGTCCCTCCCCCATCCATCATCTCCAGTCCCTCCATCATCTCC